TCCCTCTGTCATTGCGTGCATGTGCATTCTATCATGAATAAAGAAAAAAAACTTTTTTCATTAGTGATAACAACAGTTTTTATTTATTTTTGTGTTTTAAAAAATATTTATGGGGAACCAGCAGTTAGCGTAATGGCTATGTCGCTGGACTCCCACGTACTCGATCGTGGTTCGCGTCCCAGACCCGGTGGCTTAAAACTCACTCCGGGGGCGTGTGCGTGCGTGCCCAAGATCCCGAGAGGAGAATGGAGGAGAAGGGATTGCGGCGTGACCATGCCCCCTGGGGGGTGATTTCTCGCTTTCTGTCTCTATGTCTCTCTCTGTCTGGCAAGCGCACGCGCCCTATAGCAAAAATCTCTCAGAAAAAATATTTATGCAAATCTCTTTGAAGTCTGGCTTTAAAGAAGACAGCTGTATGCTCATATCTGCCTCAGCATTTAATATGTTGCAATATGTTGTTCTGGCTGAAGTACTGGGTTGTCAGAAAAATCATGATGTATTTTTTCTTTGCGTCATGACTTTTTTAACAACCCAATGTATGAAGAAAGTCTGGCCTCATTCAGGCAGAAACTTGAAAAAAGTAAGAGTGTTTTAATAGCCCTTTCTGCCCCTTTGATAATACACCAAAACTCAACAAGTGGTGGTGTCTTAATGATCATTGTAATGTGGAATCTGAAACCATATCAATAGGCTTTCATGCATTGTTTCATTAAAATCCACTAAACTATCTTGGATTTTTTTTTTTAATAAATAAGTTAAAAGAAAGTCCAGGAGAGAGGCAAGGAGACAGGGAGGGGTATGGGGGGAGGTAGAGATAGGCATCCTTGATGGAATCTTGCCATGTTGCCACCTCTGGCCCCAGCCTCCCAGTTCCTAGGACTACAGGTGCACAATGCCATGCCCTGCTGAGAAGGTGGGTCCAGAATCTAAACCAGGCCTTGCACAGCAATGCCCCACCCCCTGCACTACTGCAGCTGGGCTTGCGTGGCTATTTTACCCATACATTACTCATATCATGTGCTGGTCTTCCAAAAATATTGATTCACAGTTTTACAGACTTCCCAGATATTGACGTACTTCATTATATAACATCAAAAAATATACTGGTTAATATCATCAGCAATCTAATCAGAAAAGTCTTTAAATTTGGGGACATTTCAAGCTCATAGTAACATACAAATTTTTCAAAATTCGAATTTTTGTTTGAAAGCCCAGATTTTTATCAACCAACACTACAGCTGTTTTCCTTGAAGGGACAGACTCACTTCATTCATTTCCAAAGAAATGTCTGCCAAATACCCAAACCTGAATAACCATACTTTTTCTATCAGTTATTTTTCACAAAATTGAAGTGCTGCTCCATAGAAAAAAGTGGCTAGCTCATCTCACAAATGTCTTTTCTCAAGATAACCATCACACTTCAGTAGTCATGACTTTGCATTTTGTCATACAATATTAAAATGGCATCCACTAAAATACCAAAAGGTCAAAATTTACTAATATCTGGGGCCAGCAAGTGGGCAGGGTGGTTAAGGTGCTAGACTCCCACACGGTCAACTGTGGTTCAGTCCCAGACCTGGCAACTTGCTTTCTCACTTTCTCTCTCTCTCACTTTCTGTTTCTCTGTGGTGGGTGCATGTGTCTGGTAGCAAATTTAAAAATAATAACAAATAAAGTTAAGCAAATAATTCTACAAAAAAATTTACTAGGGACCAGCAGATGGTATAATGGTTACATCGCTGGATTCCCACATGGCTGACTGTGGTTCAAGTCCTGGACCCTGTGGCTTAAAACTCACACTGGGCATGGGAACTGGCGGATGGCATGGTGGTTAAGGTGCTGGACTCCTTCATGGCCAATTGCAGTTTGAGTCCCAGACCTGGTGGCTTGCTTTCTCACTTTCCCTCTCTTTCTCTCTCTCTTTCTCTCTCTCTCTAGTCAAATTAAAAAAAAATAGTAATAGGAGCCGGCAGGTAGTGTGGTGGTTAACGACGCTGGACTCCTACATGGCTGACACTGTTCAAGTCCCGGATCTGGGGGCTTGCCTTCTCTCTTTCTCGCTCTCTTTCTCTGTCCTTCTTTGGTCAAATATAAATAAAATAAAATAAATAAAATAATTTTTAAAATAATAACAACAACTAAAATAAATAATTCTTTAAAAAAAAAAAAAAAAAAAAAAAAAAACAAACCAAAAAAAATGGGGTACACACCCACTGTGGCTACATGCCCAAAATCCCAAGAGGAAAATAGAGGGGAAGGGATTTTGCAGCATGGCCATCCCCCTCTGGAGGGGGTGATTTCTCTCTGTCTCTCTAGCGAGTGCATGTGCTCTATAGCAAAAGTTTCTCAAAGAAATTAAGTGACTTCATAATCAAATTTCAAAACTAATTTTTAAAACCTAAATGTAGTTGTTATCCTCTCTTCACTGCAAAGCTAAGCAGAAATACTTGCTATGCTTTTAATAGCCCACTTACAGTTTACTTTTTTCTTTTTATGGTTTTTGTCATAGGGTACATGTGCTCTCCAGAGATACCTAGAGATGAAAAGTGAGAAATCACCCCATGGGGGGATGGACATACCGCAAACCCACTCCCTCCATTCTCCTTTAAGGATTTTAAAAATTTATTTCTCCCTCTCTCTCTCTCTCTCTCTCTCTCTCTAAGGATTTGGGGCACACACATGTGCCTGGTGTGATTTTCAATTCACAGAGCCCCAAGACTTCAAGTACGGTCAGTCATAGGAGAGTCCAGCACCTTATCTGCCTTCCTGCCTACTGGCCCTTAAACACCTCTTAATAATAAAGGGAAGTCATTTGATTTATAATGCCAGGAAGATTTAATTCAAGTGAATTTTACCATGTACAATATTGAGACAAATGTTTATAATCATTGTACCTTCTGATTTAGGCCCTTGAAAGATACAGTGGAAACAATACAGATGTTCAAAAGATGATACCCATTAACTACTCTTTTCAATAAGACATTGTCATCTTCTTCTTCCCTTTTTTTTTAAGAGAGATTTTTGTTATAAGGCATGTGCACTTGCCAGAGAGACAGAAAGGGAGAAATACCCCCCCCCCAGGGGGGCTGGCCATACCACAATCCCTTCTCCTCCATTCTCCTCTCAGAATTTTGGGCACACAAGCCCACATGCCCAAAGTGAATTTAAAACCTCTGGGTTCAAGACTCGAACCGTGGTCGGCCAAATGGAAGTATAGCAATGTAACCATTATACTATCTGCTGGTCTCTGACATTGTCTTCTGATATAATCAAGAAGCCTGTCAATTAAGGGCAACCTTCCAAAAAGAAACCCCCAAAAATGTTGATGTAGAACTGTTTAAAATAAAGCAAAGTGTCTATTAGCCCCTACTGAATAAATCATCATTAAGTTATATTTAAGTTATACTTATGAGTCATATAACTTAGTAAATCGTGTTACAAAACTACATTTCAAGCCATGCAATTTATATTTTGTAAAATTAATAACATAGAAAGTAAACTTACCCGATCTGCTAATCCTCCAGGAACGATAGTCCTCACAACCACGCCACTTGATTTTCCTCCAACTATTCCAAAACCTAATCCAGAGCCATCATTAATGAGCTCAACGTCTTCAATATGACCCCAACAAGCCTGCAAGTGAATGGCAAGTAAGAGCCACAGTGTCAACAGAAAACAGACTCTTAGCTTTCAATATAGTAATTACTAAAGTAACATATTTGCAACAAATTGAATATTCATAAAATTAATCAAGGCAATTTTTTTAAGAGAGATTTTGGCTCTGGGGTGTGTGCACTCTCCATAGAGACAGAGAGAGACACCAAGAGATAAATCACCCCCCAGGAGGGATGGTTATGCTGCATTACATTCTCCTCCATTCTCCTCTCAGGATCTTAGGCACACAGGCACATATACCCAGCAGGAGTTTTAAGCCACCAGGTTTGGGACTCGAACTGCAGTTGACTACTTGGGAGTTCAGCAACATAACCATTATGCCATCTGCTGGTCCCAATTAATCAAAACAATTTTCTAGACACTAAAAGGTAGATAAAAATCATATGATCTAAGGATCTTATAATCTAGCAGATGGAAAAACTTACAGAGAAACAATGAAAATACAACACAGAATACTGGATCACGAGACACTGTAGCTCTAAGCACTCCTACACAGTGCCCAACATTTAGTAGAAGTCAATAAATACGTCTGCCTCAATTGAAAGAGAATCCCAAATGTACTTCCAGGGACTGGGAGAAGGAGGCAGAGGTAAGAAGTCAAATCCAATGACAAAGCTTATGGTAAGCTTCAAGGAAAGAGGATATTTAAGTTGCACGGCAGCGAAAGAAGACTTTCAAGAAAAAGGAAACTGTTAAGAGCTGAGCCAGAAAACGAAATGGAAAAATGACAGGTCAAAAGAAAGGACTTTTTTTTTTTTTTTTTTTTGAAAAAGACGGGTCAAAAGAAAGGATTTTTTTTTTTTTTTTTTTTTGAGAGAGAGAGTGTTTTACTATAGGGCACGTGTGCTTGCCAGAAAGACAGAGACAGCAAGTGAGAAATCACCCCCCAGAGGGCATAGCCATGCCACAATCCCTTCTCCTCCATTCTCCTCTAAAGACCTTGCACCTGGCTTGAGTTTTAAGTCACTTGGTCTGGAACTCGAATCACAGGTGACTACGTGGAAGTGCAATGATGTAACCATCATGCCATCTGCTGCTCCTAGGACTTTCTTTCTTTTTTTTTTTTTTTTTGGAGAGGTTTTTGCTATAGGGCACGTGCACTCACCAGAAAGACAGAGAGATACAAAGAGACAGAAAGCAAAAAATAACTCCCCAGGGAGTGATGGCAATGCTGCAATCCCTTCTCCTCCATTCTCCTCTTGGGATCTTGGGCACACATGTACATGCACCCGGCGTTGAGTTTAAGCCACCAGGTCCAGGACTTGAACCACAGTCGACTACGTGGGAGTCCAGCAACATAGCCATTACGCCAACTGCTGGTCCTGACTGTTTTTTTTAAATAGCCAGAGAGCACATACACTTGCCAGAAAGAGACTGGGAGACATAGAGAAAGAAAGGAAGAGGGAGAGATGGAAAGCACTCTTCAATGGGGTGTGGTCACACCAAAATCCCTTCCCCAGTTCTCAGTCCTGTCAGGATTTGAGGCATGTACACACATGTACCTAGCATGATTTTCAAGCTGCTGGGGCTAGGATCAAACCATGGCCAGCCATCTAGGATCCAACTCTGTTAAGTGCTGGGATATGGGGCCAGCCAAAAGCTAGGATTTAACTGCATAAAGAAGTGGGAAAAAATAAAGGTTTTATAAGAGGAAATACTAGGAACAAAACAGTGGTTTAGGAAAATTCATCCTGCAGTAATGTGAAGAATGAAATGGCCAGAGACACACAAACTGAAGATGTTAATTTAGGAAAAACTCACATGAGGGAGAGGAAAGATAAGCCTGAATGAAAATAACAGCAATCGAAATACACAAATCAGACTAACGGACAGAGGTGGTTTCCCCCTCTTACTAGCAGGTTTCCATGAGAAACATGCATTAAATCCACATAATCCAATTGCAGAAAAATATCCTCCTTCTCAAGATTATTAGGCATACTTGTTACTTGTTTTTTCTCTATTAAATGGAATCAGGAAGTTACTATGCAATGTTAAAATAAACAGGAATCTTGGGAATAATTAATAAATTCATGCCTGGAACAATATCTAGTATTTGGACAGCAATAATGTCTGTTCAAAGTAATATGCTTGAGGGACCAGCAGTTGGCATAATGGCTATGTCACTGGACTCCCATGTAGTTGACCGCGGTTTGAGTCCCGGACCCGGTGGCTTAAAACTCATGCCGGGTGCATGTGTGTGCATGCCCAAGATCCCGAGAGGTGAATGGAGGAGAAGGGACTGTGGCATGGACATACCGCCTGGGGGGGTGATTTCTCGCTTTCTGTCTCTCTGTCTCTCTGTGTCTGTCTGGCAAGCGCATGTACCCTATAGCAAAAACCTCTCCAAAAAAAAAAAGTAATATGCTTGAATTAACAACAGTAGCTAATAATCACAGGGGTTCCTGGGTACCACACGCTGTGCCTACCTCTTCATATGCCTTCTCATTTGGTCCTCATGTCTCTGAGAACTGGTTCCACTATTAGTTACAAGTAACAGAGAATCTGAGCTGTGGGGAAGTCAAGGAATCTGCCTGTGAGGACACAGCCTCGAGGTAGATGAAATGAACTTGAACTCACCAAAGCTGACTCCAAAGCCCTTGTTCCTTACATGCTAAACAAGGCCCGACTTGTTCACTGTATTTATTATGGAAATTGCACTATATAAATATTACTGATTACAACAGGGAAAATGTCTATACATTAATTTGTATTGTGACCTTGTACTGTACCTAGTCTATTTTTTCTTTTGTCCCAATGAATGAAAATTAAATACATCGGCTAGCACTTAGTGTTATAAGAAAATAAGATTTATTAGCTTGCATTCTGAAGATGCAGGCCAAAATCTGTAAAATGTTACAAGGCAAGTTTAAGGATTCCCAAAAGAGACATGTACTTTTATCCTTTTGAATTGTTCAAAACACAAGGGGACTTAAAACTGACTGCAGAAAAATGAAATTAAAGTACAAGTGTATTTGGGTGCAAGAAAGTTTCTAAATCCATGCAGGTTTATTTTTGTTTGTTTGTTTTGTCATAGGGCATATGCACTCTCCAGAGAAAGACTGAGTGCAGAGGAAAGTGAGAAATCCTTCTGCAGGGAGATGGCCAGACTACAATCCCTTCTCCTTTAGTATCCTCTTGGGATTTTGGGCACACATGCACACATGAGTTTCAAGCCACATGGTCCAGGACTCAAACCACAGTTGGCCATATGGGAGACCAGCACCTTAACCAACATGCTACCTGCTGGCCTTGTATGCATAGTTTTTTTAATAACATGCATCTTCCATGAATCTTTAGAAGCCTCCCTTCGTACATTCTTATGTGGAAAATGAAATAAAAACTGTAATTCTATAATATCAATAATCTAGTCATAAACTCCCTTTATAATTTATGAAAGTGTTTTTGAAATAAATAACCAAATCTTACTTAAGACACTCAATGGTAAATCTCTAATAAAAACTCTCAATTAACCCAAGGAATATAAGAGTCTTTTCATCATCAAAAAAATTACAACTAATACTTCAATTTGGCCTCTATATTAAACAATAATCTTAAATAAAAAAGATCCATAGGACATGGAAAGGATAGAACATGTTTTTTCCATGAAACATTTTGCTTAAATATGTTAATGCTGTATTTGGATATATGATCATCTTTCTTGAACTATGGTAGGTAAAATGACACCTTTTGAATGTTTTTACACTTCTTACAGTCAGTGGCACGATTCAACTTTAAGTATTTTTCCAAGTTAGCAACTCACTGTCTCAGGCAGGGTTGTTTCAGTTAGGTTGGTGGAAGTACTGCTTCTTGAATGGACGCGTTCTCGGGCCACCACCAGATGCAAAGATCCTGTGGTTTGTTGCAATAATGCAATTGCTTGCTGATGGGAAACGTTCTGATCCAGTGCAATGTGATTAATGGCCAATATCTGGTCATTTTCTTTTAATCTTTGATCCCTTAATCATAAGGAAAAAAATAAATAAGTGATCTAATAGCCTGATTTTTAAAAATCTGTTATTTTATGTTAAATAGTTTATTGCTTATGGTACTACTTCACTTAGTACATTTATACACATAATTAATTATATAACAGCTTTTCAGAATGTTTATCAAAGCACTTATTAATTATTGAGTCATCAGAAAAGTTACGACGTATTTTCCTATTTTTCTATGCAAAAATGTGTTATGACTTTTCTTTTAAAAAAAAAAGATTTATTTAACTTTGTTTAATTAATTAATTTATTTATTTTAATTTGACCAGAGAGACAGAGAGAGAAAAGGGGAAGTAAGAAAGCAAGCCACTAGATATGGGACTCGAACCATAGTCAGCACCCCAACCACCACACCACCCGCCGGCCCCAAAACGTGTCATGACTTTTCTGATGACCCAATAATTAATCAATTAAGTAGTGCATTCCCTAAACACATATATGCACACGTTTGTTTGTTTTTGTTATAAGGTACATGTACTCGCCAGAGAGAAACAAGGAGGGGGCGGGTGAGAAATCACCCCCTATGGGGGATGGCCATGCCTTAATCCCTTCTCTTCCACTCTCCTCTTGGGATTTTGGGAAGGCACATACATGTACCTGGCGTGATTTTCAAGTGGTTAGGTCTAGGACTCGAACTGTACAGAGACAGCCATGTGGGATCCAGTGCCTTAACCTCGACACCACCTGCTGGTCCCAATACACACATTTTAAAAGTCATCTGGCTAGGAAAATAAGCAAAAGATATAGTGAGTCCCGCTGCTAAGGTTTTGCACATATGGATACGGCCCCCATTACATGAACCCTGTATTCCTAAAACCCATCTAATATGACATTTAGCCATACACTAGGATAATTATATTCCCAATTATATTCCTCCAATAAACTCTCTAGCAGATTCACCCTGTCACTGTCCTTCACTTCCCCAATTTTTTCAATAGAGGCCAAGTCCTCCTCTGAAAATTCAGAGATGACTTCTAAAACTATAGCTGAGCCCTCTTCTCTCCTCCAAGTATCATCACCAATTGCTAACCAAGTTGAAAGGATCATATTTAAAAGAAATTAGCAAAATAAAGGACTATTATAGTTAATATTTACAGAGCACTCAATTAAGAATCAGGCCATGTTAAATATTTCATGTGCATTATCTTATCTAATCCTCAACATCACCTTTTACAGTACTTAGCTAAATTTTGCATACAAGAAATTCAAGCCTAAGCAAGCTTAGCATATTATCTAGTTGAACTCTAAAGCACAGTGTTTAGCTTCTTATGTTAAAGATCATTCTAAGGACAGCCTCGAGTTTACTCTATATGGCTTATCTGTCAATTACCGCTCTTGAGAGCCCCCTTTTTTCCCCCAGCCTCTTCCTATTTATCCATTATCACCATAATTCTCTTTTATCATTCTTTGTCTCTCAAGCATCACTCATATCCTCCTTTCTATTCTAATGCCAATCCCCCAGTTAGAATCTTTATCTAATACCTAAAATCTTATTGGTGAAATTCCACAAGATTTATTTTTCTAGATTCTCCCTTCATACTGGTATTTCTCAACTCAAATATGTGTAATTAGTATTTGTTATTGACCAAGTAAGAGGCAAAGAAAACAAACTCCTGTCACAATTGTTTCATAACAGAATATTTAAACCTCTAAAATAACGGGACTGCATTTATTTCAAATAAAAATATTTTTTTATGAATAAAACTTGGAATTATGGAAAGTTCACTATATTGCCCTTATTTTTCTCAGTTCATAGCTTCTCAGAACAACTTTGGCATAGAGGTCCAGGTAGTGATACAACAATAAAAAGATAAGGTCTTTGGGACTAGCAGATGACATAATGGTTGCATTGCTGGACTCCCACATAGTCAACCGTAGATCAAGTCCTGGACACAGTGGCTTGAAACTCATACCAGGTGTGTTTGTGTGCATACCCAAGATCCTGGGAGGAGAATGAAAGAAAAAGGATTGTGGTGTGGCCGTCCCCTTCTGGAGGTGGTTTCTCTCTTTCTGTCTCTCTGTCTCTCCAGCATGTGCACCCACCCAACAGCAAAAATCTCTCTCTCAAAAAAAAAAGATAAGGTCTGAGAAGGTGACCACTCAGGAAGGTTCTGGGTTTGCATATCAAGTATGCCAGGTAACCATGTGCCTACGATCTAAGCATGGCTGAGACTTGGAGTGGATTATGGCATGAAGACCCTATCGGGCTGCCTGTCTCTGTACCTTCTCTTTTTCTCCCATGGAAGAAATATTGGGTCATCATAAAGTCATGATATTTTTTTATGTTTCTCTTTGCAAAAATGCATCATGACTTTTCTATCAACCCAACAAATAAATTTAAAACTTCTCACTCCCAAAACTATCTCAATTTGGACAATAAATCATGTGATCACTCTGAATATACACATTAAGTCTCCAAGAACAGCATAGTTTCTTGAAGGTATCTGATACTGCTCTGGTTCCACAGAATATACTTTCAGAAATGCTGCACTAAATGGCAGAATAAAGATGCAAAGGCGTGGATACCCAGTATGCCTGAATTTTGAGGTAGAAAGACCAGAATTAATTCCCCATGAATGGAGAATATTAACTCAAAAATACATTACTGAGAATTTTCTGACAGTCTACTGCCACTGTTGCTATTATCCTAACAGGCACATTTGAAGAGTGCACTTAGTAAATGAGTAATAAACCAAAGACTGGAAGTCAAATAGAGACCATATGTAAGGCTTGCACATACCACCTAAAAAATAAAAACAAGTGGAGGATTCAGCAGGTGGTTCAGTGGTTCAGGTGCTGGACTCCCACAAGACCAACTACAGTTCGAGTCCCAGACCTGGCAGCTTACTTTCTCACTTTCCCTTTTTCTCTCTCTGTGTCTCTTTCTAATCAAATCAAATCACCATCATCATCATCATAATAAAATAACAACAACAAGTAAAATAAATAATTATTTTAAAAAACAAGTAGAATGTGACGGATGACATAGAATTGAGGAATCTTCTAAGTGACAATAAGCATAATAAACCAATATTGTGATATGACCACAAGGAAAGTTATCTTAACTTTAATAAGAAATATAGTGGGGCTGGCCAGTGTGTAGTAGTAGAGAAGGCAGCCAGATCCCGCATGGCTGACCACATGGTTTGAGTCCTAGACCCAGTAGCTTGGGAAACACACCAGGCACATGTGTGTGTATGTCAAAAATCTCAAAAGAGGGAGAGATGGAGAAGAAATTACAGCATGACCACACTCCACAGGAGGGTGATTTCTCACTTTCTCCCTCTCTCTCTCTGGTGCCTTCTGGCAAAAAATAACAAACAAAAATCTATAATATATGGCTAATACACAGAATGAGAATTTCAATATTCCCATCCTTATCAGATCATAGCTAAAATACAACATCTGGTTGTGAGAGAGGGTGATGGGGTGGAAAGGACACCAGTTTTGTAATCAGGCTTGGAATCACACCATATGTTTTAACATTAATAGTTCTGTGACTAAAGGCAGACCACTGACCCTCTCGAACCCAGCTTTCTCATCTTCAAAATCTAGCAGTAATATCTATGTAGCTGGATTGCTGCCATTACATAAGTTCATGCAAGAACATCCACACATAGCCTGACAAATCCATCAGGAAGAACTAAAATAAGTATTACCTGTTCTTGTTTGTTACTGTTATTACTAATTTATTATTCTTTTTGGAATTTGCAGGAAAAAATTAGAAAAACACAAAATGAACTTCTTTCTCACCTGTCTGCTATACTTCCTGGTTGTACTTCCTTCACAAAGATGTCAACTTCTCCCAGATTTTGACTTCTCAGAGCCACCACACTGAACCCGAGGCCTCCGGTTGTGGGTCGTTCTATGTCTATATATTCTATTTGCCGGCCCTAGTGAAGGAATTAAAAAAAATTCAATACATATTTATTCAACATACATTCTCCACAGAACCGAAATTGCTTAACATAAAAACAGTTTTTCTATGTCATCTCTATGAAAACAAACTCAACATTTTGGTAATAAATTATTTCTGGAAGTCCTCTCCAACTTGATTATTTTCAGAAGATCCTAAGAAGGAATGTGTGGTATTCTGCAAACTCAGGAATTAGAGAGGTATTTTCACACTTCCGTCACATTATGAGATAAATACCAATTTAAATTTAAAAAGCCTGAGAAAAAGGCCCTTTCCCACAGTAAAATCTCAATTACTTTTCTACTAAATCTCCTTCATTTTCTTGATGGAAAATACATTTTTAAACGAGGTGAGTAAATTAGACATATCAAAAATATGCTTGTGTTTAGCCTAAGTCAGAACCAGCTGTGATTTTGAGGGTTCCATTTTAAATACTATTGTGATGAATTATTATTGTACTTATTAGGTCAATCAAAAGACTATGGGAAGGCCACCATTCCAATGGGGTTTTACCTGTGCCCACCAGGTATTTTATTGTTTTAGTTAATAATTGCATTTCTGACATGAAAATTTTACAGATATAATCCACAAACAAAAGCGTTGCATGAAAATAATTACTGGGTCTTTGGAAAAGTCATGACATATTTTTCTGTTTTTCTATGCAAAAATACATCATGACTTTTCCGACAACTCACAGTCAAATGAGAATGATAGAGCTATAAAGTCAAAAAAGGAAGTAGATCCAGAACTCTATCACAACTTAAACAGATTCTTTTTAACTTTCAAACTCAAGGTCAAGTTTTAAAGTACTTATTAGGTGATAAAGTGAACAAACACAAAACTAACAAATCCAAAAAGTCAATTGTGTTTTTGTTTAAATAATTATTTTATTTAACTTTATTTATTTATTTACTTATTTTTAATTTGACCAAAGAGAGACGGGGTAGGGGGTGGTGAGGAAGAAAACTGCCAAGTCTGGGACTTGAACTGTAGTCGGCCACATGGGAGTCCAGAAGCGCCCTTAATCATCACACCACCTGCCGGCCCCCCAAAAAGTCAACTGTCTTTAATTCCATTTTAAATAAGTAATAGGTGTTTAATTGAATTACCCTTTCAGACATTTCCTTCCATTTTTTAAACTATTAGTTCTAACTCCCATTAATTCCATTTTGAAACAAAATTTAAAACAGTTTCATGCATATTATTAAAATCCATGAATATTGAAAATGCATATTATGAAAATACCATGCATGGATTTTAAAATTGTTTTACGCCAAAATAAATTCATCCTTGAATTCCATGTTATCCATTAACATTTTTAAGTTCTCTTGTCTAAAATCACAAGCAAACAAAATACATAGTAACATGTCAAGGCAAAAGAGCCAGTGTGGGTTTCTTTTTAACCCTGTGACAGGAAATAAAACTGCCCAGTCCTATGCCAAAGTATAACTTTACCTGAGCCATCTGTTGAATGACTGTGTTGAAGTCTTCATTTCCTGATTTCGAGGTCCAAGGAGATAACCCAGATAGAGCCAAGTGATTAGAGGGCCTGTGGGCATTCCCGTGAGTAATAGAACCATCCGTGAACACTAACAAACCTTTCCTAGAGAAATCAAAATTGGTCGAACACTCTGAGGGTAGATGGCTGAGCTGTTGGAAAGAGAAACAAAAGAGATTCATGAACAGCAACCTACAAAAAAAATTATTTTTAGTTATTAAAAATATTTCCCCTATATTTTAGATATGCAATTTGCATGTTAAGCATAAACACATGGGGCCAGCAGGTGGTAACATGGTTGAGGCGCTGGACCACCACACGGCCGACCACAGTTCCAGTGCTGGACTTGGCAGCTTGCTTCCTCCCTCTCTCTCTCTGTCTGTCTCTCTCTCATGTACATGAGCCCTATACCACCTATACATTAAAATAGCAATAAAATTTTAAAAATAAACAAACTTAAACACATGAAAGAAACAAGGAAGTTACATGACTCCATATGTTTACAAGGCTAGAAACTATTTTTTTTCTTTAGTATTATGCAAACGATATTAGCGTAAAATTTTTCTGCCTTCTACCATTACCTTCAGTTAACCGCATGTACACTAACATCTCATTACACTTCCACACAAATATATCCAGTCACATGGACAGGTAAGCATGACTACATTTTCACGTGGAGAGCCACAAAAGATGCCCAGGTATCATATAATAAGAAAAACAGCCGCATATGCTTAGTGAGTGCTCGCTATAAGTCGAGTCGTATACCATGCTATAACTCAAGTAGTATTTTGCTTTTTACCGAGACTCTTGAATGTATTATCTCATTTAATCCCCACAACAGTCCTAAATAGATACCATTATTCCCTTTCATGAATGAAAAAAATGGAGGCACACAGGGATGAAGTAACTTGACCAAGATTAATTGCAAGTGAGTCACAGAGCCACTTTAACTTTGGCAGGAAAAAAAAAGTCCTGTAATCATGAAGAAGGAGGATTTAAAAACTGAAATCAATAGCAGGCTGATAGCAGTGCCAACATAGTGGAATAAAGGTAACATTAAGAACAACTATCTGAACATGTAAACTTAAAAGCAAAAGAAAATGGGGGGGACCTGGGGGGGTCTGGATGGTGACACAGTGGCAATGCAACTGAACCTACATGGGGAGCTTCTCACATCCTGAGGCTTCTCTGTCCACACCGGGCATGCCTGTGTGTAAATCCATGATCCCAGCTGGCTGAGGCTGCAGGTGGATTGCAGCGTGAGGACCTTGTTAGGAATGTACCTCTCTGTCTTTCATCTGTTCATTCAGTGATGAAGCAAACTTAACAACAACAACAACAAAAGTCGGCCTATGGCACAGTGGCTAAGTGTATGCACCCAGAGCCAGATTTGACATGGCCAACCACAGGGATGACCAGAGTTCAAATCGGGACCCTAACAGCTTGAAAAACAACCCAGCTACATGTAATATATACTCAAAATTCTAGTGGAAAAGAAAAATGGAGGAGAAAGGACTGTGGTGCAATGACACCCCACTGCGGGGTGGGGTGCTTTTTTCCTGTCTCTCTCTCCCTATCTAACCAGTAAGTACATGCTCTCTGACAATGCTAAAAAAAAAAAAAAATTACTGTCAACAAGACCTCATGTAAAATAAATCAGCATTCCCCAACAAATAAAATAGGACTGTATATAACAACTACAAATTACACAAATATGAAGCCTGTTGCTATAATGGAGTGGTTAAGTCAACTCTTAATACATTAAGAGTGACATGGCTGGAACCAGCAGATAGCATAATGGTTACGTTGCTGGACACCCAGGTAGTCGACTACGGTTTGAGTCCCAGACCGGGCGGCTTAAAACTCATGCCAGGAGTGTGTGCATACGTGCCCAAAATCCTGAGCGGAGACTGGAGGAGAAAAGATTGTGGCCTGGCCATCTCCCCTGAGAGGTGATTTCTTGCTTTCTCTCTCTCTCTGGTGAGCCCACACACCCTATAATAAAAATTTCTCTTTAAAAGAAAAAGGAGTGACAAAGGCAACCAGCAGTGGTGCAGTGGCAGTGCGACGCTCTGCCATGCTGCGGCCACATAAGAAGGCCCCAGGCTGGTATCAGGGTCTTCCGAGCAGGCTGGGCACACGAGCACATCCCCATGATCCTCGCTGACAGAGGCTGGAGCAGATGGTGGTGTGAAGGCCCTAAGGGGATACTGTCTGTCTCTCTTAGAAGAAATGAAGGAACGAAGGCAAAAGGAGGAAAGAAGGCGTGATACAGGCGTGGCCCAGCTGCGTGGCATTCATTGATAAGACCTTGTACTCTGTAGGCTGAGACCACGTGGGAGGCTCAAGTTAGACTCCTGCTCCAACCTAAAGGTGAGGCAGCCTGTATCCCCAGCAACTCAGGAGACTGAAACAGTCAGACCCTGTTTTAAAAAGTTAACAAAAAAAGAGTAATAAAGTTTTATTAATCTTTGCCTATTTTAATTGTTACCAATAGTATTCATTAATGAGTTATAGGACTCATTCTATGACCAGCAAATATCAAAAGCTAACCTTTAATATGGGGCACGCTAAAGTTATGATATAAACTCTGCTCTAAAAGAAAGAAATCCACAGAAAGACTTATGAATAGAGTTTAATCTTTAATTGATTATAAACAAAACACTCAGTAAATATGAGAGGGGGTCTTCAAAAAGATTTTAGAAAATGAGTTCTATGAAAAAAATTATACATGGGATTTCAAAAAAAAATTTGTGGGCCAACCAGGTGGAGTGGTGGTTAAGGTAACTGGACCACACATAGCCAACTATGGTGTTCGAATCCTGGACCTGGTGGCTTGAAGAACACTCAGATTACATGTTTCAGACCCTCTTTCACTTTGTCTGTCTTATCTATCTTTCACTTTATCTGTCTATTTCTCTCTCTCTCTCTCTCTCTCTCTCTCTCTCTCCACCAAGCACATACACCTTCTGGAAAATCGGAGGAACAACAACAACAACAAGAAAGATATGGGACTGGCAAGTTGTATGGTGGGTATGTACCTGGCAGCTTGAAAATCATGTAGGGGTGGGGCCAGCAGGTGGTGTGGTGGTTAAGAGAGCTGAACTCCCACAAGGCTGACTGTGGTTTCAGTCCCAGACCTGATGGCTTGCTTTCTCACTGACTGTCTCTCTCTCTCTCTGTCCCTCTCTGGTCAAATTTAAATAAACAAACAAATAAAGTTAGACAATTCTTTAAAAACAAGAAAGATAAAGAAAATCATGCTGGGCATGTATGTATGTGCCCAGAATTCTGGGAGGAGGATGGAGGGGATGGGATTGAAGCATGGTCATCCCCCTGGGGGGTGATTTTTCACTTTTATCTCACTATCTCTGTCAAGCACACCCACGCTATGGCAAAAACTTAAAAAGAAAAAGATAAAAAAGAAAATAATGTGCTTTAACAGCATGATCACATTTTCCTAGACAAAAGGCTTCATTAATAAATATATTTAAGAATACATTTAAAAAGAAAATATACTGAACTGAGGCACTATTAATTTTTTAAAGATTATTTTATTTATTTATTTTAAATTTGACCAGGGAGAGAGAGAGAGAGAGAGAGAGAAAGTGAGAAAGCAAGCCACCAGGTCTCGGACTCAAATCACAGTCACCCATGTGGGGATGTCCAGTGCCTTAACCACCATGCCATCTGCCGGCCCTCAGGCACTATTAATTTTGAAGAAAATGTTGAGTGTTCTGAAAGCATCTTTTATATATTTAAATAAGTACAAAACCATACTCCAAATCAAACACAAAATTAATTACTAACATTTTTAAACTATCCATGCCAATGCTACCCACAGATTACTGTTCTGAATATGGTCTATTTCCTAAATTAAGAAACCTTAGAGATAATGTTTTTATTTCCTTCTACCTTTCTTTGCTAATTTGACTATGTCAACACAAAACCCTGATGGTCAACTTACTTGCCCTTTCAGTTGCTTGATGGACTGCTGAAGCGTGAGTATCTGATTGAAGAGAGGACTCCTTAGTGTCTCATAAAACATAGACAGCTTCTCATTCTGCGATACGTCTCCCTTTTCCTGCAACTTCGCTTTCAGGCGATCAAGGACCTGCAGGACCTGCAGTTTATCTTGATTGAAAAAGGACAAAGATTAAATACCATCTTATATTCCATTTTTGAATCATAAATTTAATGGAAGAACTCTACATCTACTATACCTGTAGCAGGATTTTCAGGCATTTTGAATTATTCCTTTTAATCACTTCTAAAGAAATCTAAAGAAAAACTGAAAAAACAAAATTTCCATTAGTATGTGCATGTGTATAGTTCTGTTGAAAAATTAAAGCCTTAAGAACATTCGACAGCAAGACTCCAATCAGTGCAATTCAAATTGTAGCCACTGATCACCCATTATGATGGCTAAAAATTTTAAAAATGAAAACAAAAAATAGACAATATTAAGTGTTGACAAAGTTGTGAAGCAACTAAACCATCATACATTGCTAGTAGGAATGTGAAATGGTACAAACACTTTGGAAGATTGTTAGTTTCTTATAAAGTTAAAAATACACTTACTACTCAGCCTGCCACTTCTACTCATAAATACCCACAAGAAATGAAAATATATGTCCACAAAAATATCTGAAAGTTCATAGCATTTTCATTTTTTTAAAACCCCAAACTAGAAAAACTCAAATGTCTCATAACAGATGGATGGATAAAATAATGATATATAAACACAAATTCAGAAATAAAAAGGAAAAAAATTACTGATAACACAAGGATGAATCTCAAAAATAATACCAGGAGGAAGAGAACCCAGACAAAAAAGATACAAACTGTATGATTCCATTCAAATGAGGTTCAAGAACTGATGAAATCAACCCATAATTATAGACTAGGTTATCTGGGACAGAGTGGAAGTGACTTGACTGGTGACAGAGTCTGAACACACTATCCCCAAATATGGCACCTTGGCATGTTCAATATTTTAAGCTGAAAAATTTGAAAAACAGCAGATGCAGGAAGAAACTTCTCCCCAAAAACAGGTCATAAGCTCCTCATGTGAGAGCTGTCTTCCCCAACCCAGAAGAGAGGAGCATCTTTATCTTCAAAGCACAGAGACACCCAGAGGAATCTGAACAAAGAGACCTTGCTAAGTCCCCCCTAGTTTACTACTCTCAGCTCTTACTCGTTTTTCTCCTACCACATGCTTTCCATGACTCTTCATCAAATCTAGTGGAAAAGCACTTGGGTTAACTATTTCTTCAGGTCTTCACGTCCTTAGAAGGGCTCCCATGTCACATAAAACTCATATTAAATTAATGTATATGCATTTCTCTTATTACTCTGTTTTTCCATCATAGAGGCCCCAGACAAGAACAGAGAAGGACAGGACAAAATGGTTATGTCACTGGACTCCCATGTAGTCTACCGCAGTCTGAGTTCTGGACTTGGTGGCTTAAAAGTCACGTCGGGTGTGTGTGCATGCATGCCCAAAATCCAGAGAGGAGAATGGAGGAGAAAGGAGTGCAGTGTGACCATCCCCTTTGGGGAGTGATTTCTCACTTTCTGTCTCTATCTCTCCGATGAGTGCACATGCCCTATAGCAAAACATTTCCAAAAAATAAAAGTATACATTTATCAAAATCCACTGATTATACATTTTAAATTGGTATATTTTATTGTACATAACTTATACTTTGATAAAGCAAAATTTTTAAGAATTACTTATTTTATTTACCATAATTATTTTTTAATTTGCTATAGAGCATATGAGCTCACCAGAGAGAGAGAGAAAGAGAGGGAAAGTGAGAAAGCAAGGCACCAGTTCTGGGAATCAATCTGTGGTCAGCCATGTGAGAGACCAGCATCTCAATTACCACGTCACCTACCAGCCCAATAAACTGGATTGAAAACAAAACAAAACAAAACAAAACAAAACCTCCTGAGCTGGAGAAGAACATCCACACTAAGTCCACACTAAGGAATGAAGGAAATTCGTGGGACCAGCAGATGGCATAACTGTTATGTCACTGGACTCCCACATAGTCAACCATGGTTCAAGTCCCGAATTTGGAGGCTTAAAAGTCACACCAGGCGTGTGTGCATGCATGCCCAAAATTTTGAGAGGAGAAGAGATTGCAGCATGGCCATCCCTCCTGGGGGTAATTCTTGCTTTCTGTCTCTGTGTCTCTCTGTTGAATACACATGCCTTATATAGCAAAACTCTCAAAAGGGGTAGGGAAGGCCCAACTCCAATGCACACGGATTCTGGCTTTCCACTGGGTGTTGGGCTGGAAGGAGGGGTTTGAAGCAGAGGCGTTTTCCAGTTAAAGAGGCAAGGAAAGCCCATCTCAGATGCACATGGATTCTGGCTTTTCACTGGGCCAGCACTCTCTCTCTCTCAAAAAAAAGGAAGATTCTGGAGGAGACTAAAGGAGGAAAAAATAAGTTGAGCAAATGATCCCAGACTCTTCTAGTCATCTGAATCTCCAGATATAAACCATCTGATATAATACTCTCTATGAATATTTTAAGTCCAGCAGTTTGCTCAGATTGGCCTAAAATGTAACATAACTGAAACTCAAAAGCTGGTGAAACCTTCTGCTATGACCAAAATGATGCTGTCATAGTGATCATTTTACTAGTCTTACACTGTTGGAATGAACTATCAAAGAAATATGGTATTGTATAAACAAAATTTTCTTTTTATAAATTTTGCCACAGGCCATATGTGCTCACCAGGGACAGAGAAAGAGGCAAAGAGAAAAAGAAAGGAAGAAAAAGCACTCCCTCCCAAATGGGGAATGGGCATGCTTTAACTCATTCTCCTGCATTGGCCTTCTTTCAAGATTCTGGGCATGCACACACATGCACCCAGAAGGTTTCTCAAACCACCAGGACCGGGACTTGAACAAAGTGGTTGGGTATGTGGGATCCTGCCCTTTTAATGATTACACTATGGGTTGGCCCTAAACAAAATTTTCTAACATCAACCTGGTTATAGTGGCTGAATGAGAACTTTATCTTGTAATTCAAGATCATCAAGCAAGAACACATATTGAAAAACAGTAAGCAATGCCATTGGCATTGATCAAAGGTCCAAGAATTCCATCCAAATGTCCATGGGTCCCATGGGAACCACCAAAAGGATAGCTGAATGGAACATCACAGAAATGCTTCTGATGTGCTGAGCATTTCAGCTGCACCACGCTTACATTGTCCACTGACAGTTAACTGTGACTAACAGGACAGGCATGATGGCACTGTCCTTTCTATAGCAGCATAGAGCCCAAAAGGAATGACAAGAACAGCTTGAAAACCATTAATGCATCAACCTCTCTATATCAAAGAATGCAAGCTAAAAATAAGTAAAATCATATTTTTTACTCTCAAATGTCAACCTGACAATTATTAATTAAAGATTAATAATGCCATGTAATGTAGATGTCATGAGAAAATGATGGAAGTATAAATTTGCACAACCTTTTAAGACAACTTCGTAGTAGCTATCAACATATCAATGTATATTAAATTTCTATTCTCTCTTTAAGTTTTTTTAAAAGAATTATTTTATTTAACTTTATTTATTTACTTATTTTAATTTGATGAGAGAGGGACAGAGTGAGATAAAGAGAGGGAAAGTGAGAAAGTGAGCTGCCAGGTCTGGGACTCAAACCACAGTTGGCTATGTAGGAGTTCAGTACCCTTAACTACTATGCTACCTGCCAACCCCTCTTTCAAGTTTTTGCCATAGGACATATGTGCTCACCGGAGATAGAGAAAGAGAAAGACAAATCACCCCCCTAAGGGGATAGCCATGTTGCAATGACTTCTTATCTATTCTCCTCTTGGGATTTTGGGCAAGCACATGCATGTGCCTGGTATGATGTCCTTTTTTTTTTAACTTTTATTTTATTTAACTTATTAGTGGTAGTATTTTTAAATTTGCTATAGGGCACATGTGCTCAACAGAGACAGACAGAGAAAGAGAGCGAAAGCCACAAAGTCTGAGATTTGAAACATGGTCAGCCATGTGGGATTCCAATACCTTACCTATGTCACCTACTAGCCCAAATTTCTATTCTCTTTTACCCAGAATTTCTACTTTTTTAATGTCTCTCCTAAAGAAATACTTGTAAAAGGGCACACAAGTGTGTATAAATAAATAAAAGGGTACTTGCTGCCTTTTATTTATTATTTTTATTATTTAATTTGCTATAAGCTATATATGCTCACCAAAGAGACAGAGAGGGAAAGTGAGAAAGCAAGCTGCCAGATCTGGGACTCAAACTGCACTCTTTCATGTAGAAGCTCAGCACCTTAATCATTATGCCACCGGCTGGCACTTGCCTTATTTTTAATAGCAAAACTTCTGGAAAAAAAAAGTTAAACTACTGTAGTCAGCAGCTAGTGTAGTGGTTAATGTGCTGGATTCCCACATAGCAGATTGCAGTTTGAGTCCCAGACCTGGCAGCTTGCTTTCTCACTTGCCTCTCTCTCTGTCTCTCTCCGATGAATTAGAAAATAATAATAATAAATATAATTAGGGCTAGCAGGTGGCATGGTGATTAAGGCACTGAAGTGACACATAGTCAACTGTGGTTCAAGTCTTAGAACTGGTAGCTTGCTTTCTTACTTTCCTTCTGAGTGTGTGTGTGTGTGTGTGTGTGCGCTTCCTTCTGATTAAATTAAAAATAAATAAATAAAATTAAATAATAATTTTAAGTCAATAAATACAATTAATTTTTTTTAATTAAGCTATACAAAGTAATCATTCATAAAAGTAAAAAAGTAGTTTGAATGTACTGAAAAGGGAACGAGGAGGAAACATGTAACAGCAAGCCTGTGGCTCACTCCTTCAGCTGGATGGATTTCCTGCATGATAGCAGACCTCCTAACAAACACGCTAAAGTTATTTTTTTAGCAATTATTAATTTAGGGGCTGGCAAGTGGCGTGGTAGTTAAGGGGACTGGACTCCCACATGGCCAACCGTGGTTCGAGTCCAGATCTGGCAGCTTGTTTTCTCACTCCTCCCACCTCTCTCTCTCTGTCCTTCTCTGGTCAAATTAAAATAAATAAAGTTAAATAAAATAATTATTTTAAAAAGTATTAATTTAATTAATTTTTTTTTCACCAGAGAGAGAGAAAGGGAAAGTGAAAGAGCAAACCACCAGGTCTGGAACTCGAACCACAATCAGAATTGTGGAAGTCCAGCGCCTAAATCACCATGACATCTGCTGGTCCCAAGGTTTTTATTTTAACTTTATTTACTTATTTTA